CACTCGTATGTCACTCGTATGTAGTCCTATGTACTCGTATCTCACTCGTGTGTCACTCGTAGATCACTCGTATGTAGTCCTATATACTAGTATATCACTCGTGTGTCACTCGTATATCACCCGTATGTAGTCCTATGTACTCGTATCTCATTCGTGTGGCACTCATACGTCACTCGTATGTAGTCCTATGTACTCGTTTTCACTCGTGTGTCACTCGTATGTTACTCGTATTCATCTTTACATGCTCACTTTGGAGGTTGGTTGGCCGCATCTTGATATGCTTTAATGTGACAGCGTGATGCTGTTAGTGAGCTTCTATGCGCTAGCTGTTGTTTGGCTGTGTAGCCGCGTGATGCGGTTCCAGTCGAGGCCCACAAATTGACCCTTGCTCACCATAGAGTCTCCAGTAGCTCAGTGGCTAGAGCATCCGACTAGATCACGGAGGGTCGTGGGTTCAAGTCCCATCTGGGGCTCGGATTTTTTCTATTACACTAAAAATTGTTTAATCTCCATACTGTTCTCTATACATCACCCTAAGTGCTGACGAGGAGAATTTGTTTAACATTCAAAGGGCTTCAGTTGGTGATCATTTCCTCTACTCTTTTGACCTTACTGCGTGATTCGGGGGTAATATTGTAAGAAACCAGATCTTAGTCACCCCCTGGGGTCAAAGGGTCTAGGTGAGGGGGGATAGGGTAGTTATATAAAAGAGCCACGTCACACGCTCCACTTTTGCTGAAATCTAATTTATTTATTTGTTTTTAGATTTGTGACCCTCACAGAGGTGTTCGATACCAAACCGATTCTTTTTTTGCGACTGAGTCAGGTCCTTGTTATTAATGATGCAGGACGAAAGTTTCCCTGCCTGCGGAATAATTTGAGACGAGTCGAGGAGAGGTCCACCGGGGGCCTGGTGCCGATTGTGTCGGATCACTTGTAGACCTATCGCCGGCTCGCGTTGCTCAAAGCCTCAAACTTACCCACGGGCGAAGATACGCGCATACTGAAGCGCTAATAATGAAGGCTTACTCAAAGGCTGCTGAATCAGTTCTAGACTTGTTTGTTTGTGTAAATGAGCGGGTCAAACAACCGGAAATTCCTCAGCTCTTATTAACCAAGCGGGAGGTCTGTATGGGAGAATCTTGACCGAGGTCGCCCGTGCAGACCGAACGCAGTGAGGTCTGTACCAGCGACCGAGGTCAAGATTCTCCCATACAGACCGACCTAGCTCGGTTAATAAGATGTTTATTATATGGCTGTGTCTTATATGCCAATTTTTTATATTCTTTGTACCATTTTTTCCTAGATCGGTCCAGATGCCGGTCTAGATGGGAAAATCTAGACCGCTTTCAATATTGATTTCAGCCAATCAAATTCGTGAATTCGGTAGTTCCCAGTCCTTGTGAGACACAGCCATATAATAATCCATAATATTTGCTCAAAAACTGTCAATGGTCGTTTTAAGCGTAAAAAAAAAAACAAAAAAATACAGTTGAAGAGAAAGTCAAGGAAAACGGCAAATTAATTTTGCTCTTTCATGGCCAAGTGGGAAGTTATTTCAGTCAAAATTTCAGGATTATTAATTTCAAAGTATTACGAAAGAAAAGTTGGGATCACGTCATAAGGATGTGTACCCGCGGCCTCCGAGGAATCAAAATCAATTTAGCTCTCTTTAAAGAATAAGAATACATAGATATGAAATTAACAGGTGATTTTCAAACTTCAAAGGTGGTGAATTAAGAATTCGGGGAAATGATTTCATTCCTTTGAAGGGAAATAACTGCTCTAATTAGCCTCTGTTTTTTGAAGGCCTCTTTCATTCTTAATGAACTTTTTGTTTGAAGATCGTCCCTTGATTTCAACCGCATATATAAAAACACTTTTCGTCTTGACCAATGCTTTTGGGCTTGGTTTTGCTTTGATGTACGTATTTCGAGAAACAATCATATGACAGCCACAAAACGAGAAAAAGAAAATTTGAATGGATCAAGCTGGAAAATTTTCACAAAGTCTTGAATACCCACTCTCTGTGATTTTGTTTTAGGACCCATAAAAAGCCAATTTCCTCAGGAGCCCGGTTCTCAAGTAAGCTTGGGAGAAGGTAAAAGCAATTTACCTCGAGTCCTGGTCAACAAACTGACCATCAGTCATGACGTCGTCGGGAGACTACGGCGGCTCACGAAATGTTGTGGGAAAAGGGTTACCGCTGAGAAAATGGAAAGTCTTGTTGCGAAGGATGGGTCAAACGCTAACGGAGAGGAAATGACTAACGGGAATCACAACAGAAGAGATAGTGAAAGTTCACCTGAAGAGATCGGATGTAATGAATCTCCAGATAGAGATTGCAAGAAAGGTAAGGGTTGCCGAGAGAGACTTTAATCCCTCAGTTGTGGGCTAGGAACAAAAACAAATCGTCCCTGATAGGGATTCACGCTACCTTCTGTAAAGAGCTTAAGTACTTAATTAACCCTCGTCCACTCTAGAAACTTTTGAAATAGATTTTCATGCCTTATAGGAGACTCACACATAACACCTTTCCTGCATGGTTCTAGCATCAGCATCCTGAGACTGAAACTAAAATACTAAAAGCCATCTTTATGTCAGATTCCTGGAGGATTGGCGTAGTCTCGATCAATCATGCATACTGTAAACATGAAGAATTAAACACAGTAAACACAGAAATTTAACAGATATAAAGAATTGCATGTGCAATTAGTGTGTCATGTAGCAGGCCTCAGGGTTCCCAGATGCTGCTACTTACTCTTAACTTAAAGATCGCGACTTAAACACCACTCGGGCACTAAGAGTGACGTACAGGTGACATACAGATACATAAGAGTACATGCGGCTACATACGAGTGACACACGAGTACATAGTTGCAACAGAACCGCCAGTGTAGGTTGCGCGGAACTGTTTGTACAAGCGCACCTATATCACCCAGGTACTCGTATCTCATTCGTGTGTCACTCATTGTCACTCGTATGTAGTCCTATGTACTCGTATCTCACTCGTGTGTCACTAGTATGTCACTCGTATGTAGTCCTATGTACTTGTATCTCACTCGTGTGGCACTCGTATATCACTCGTATGTAGTCCTATGTACTCGTATCCCACTCGTGAGGCACTCGTACGTCACACGTAGGTAGTCCTATGTACTTGTATCTCACTCATGTGTCACTCGTATGTCACTCGTATGTAGTCCTATGTACTCGTATCCCACTAGTGTGGCACTCGTATGTCACTCGCGTATGTAGTTCTATGTACTCGTATCCCACTCGTGTGTCACTCGTATGTCACTCGCACGTAGTCCTTTGTACTCATATCCCACTCGTGTGGCACTCGTATGTCACTCGTATGTAGTCCTATGTACTCGTTTTCACTCGTGTGTCACTCGTATGTTACTCGTATGTTACTCGTATGTAGTCCCATGTACTCGTATCTCACTCGTCTGGCACTCGTATATCACTCGTATGTAGTCCTATGTACTCGTATGTCACCCGTAGTGTTCGTGTGGTATTTTCGTCACGAAATTAACGATCACATTTTTTACCTTTTGAAGGTCTACCACCACATCAAAATGGTATGAAACACACGGAAACCGCCGTCGTAGACAAGGGAGACAAATTTGAGGATGGTACTAACAATGAAAAACAGGCCGCTTCTGATTTCCTTATATTCAAACAGGTACAGTGTATGACATGCTAGTATTCATGAAAATACTTCCCGGTGAGAGATAAATGTTTAAATTTTCCACGATAATAAATTTGTGTTTTAAAAGAGCTAGATCACGATTTGTGTATTGACACTTAGAACAGAGAAAATATTGGTAGCCTACGCCTGCTTGTTCATAAATTCCGTTAAATCCTGGGATGTGGCCACCGCAAAAAGGTCTAAGATATGACTCGCTTCAAGTCTACATATTGTATTAAGTGGCCTCGTAGTAAGTGGTGACACTGAATTCAGCGGTCGGTTGTCAAAGTCCTGAATACCTGAAAGTCTCATCGGCCTGTTTGTATGGTTTTCCACCTCTATCGAAAGGTCAATTAAAAAAAAAAGGAACCATTCATATAAAACTAGGAATAATCTTTCAAGCAACTTTTGATACATGTTCCTCTCCCAAAATCAAAGTAAAAAGTGTTTTTCAGCGAGATTCTAGACATTAAATTGTCTATTATGGCATAAAGTCGCGTCAACGTTTTTATCGTTATTGGTCTAATTGTTATCGTTTTTATCGTTATCGTTTTTATCGTTATCGTTTTTATCGTTATCGTTTTTATCGTTATCGTTTTTATCGTTCTTATCGTTATCGTTTTTATCGTTGTCGGTATCGCGTTATCGTTTTTACAAAACCTCTAATTAGTGCCATCCCTCTTAGGGTGACCGCTTAACACAGGTTCGACGGAACTTATTCTGATGGTCATATAATCTTTCTTCAGGTGTTGAAAGAAATAATCGAACAGCGTACCAAGGTCGTTGAAGAAAAAGTGGCAGCGAATTCACTGAAACTTCAAAATCGTATACGGGAGCTGGAGAGGGAAAACAGAGAACTACAGTGGAATGCAAGAAGAATATTTACCGCCTTTCGACAATTATTGATAGAGAATGAAAAAGTATGATCATTTCACCTGATTTCGCGCGTTTTGGGATTTTAACTTTATTTATTTTTTTTTTTTTGGAAAATGTTAGTTTAAGTAGTTACCTTAGATTTGGTCGAGAAAAAGTGATTTCAGCAAAAGTTGAGCGGTGAAGGTTTGAGTAGCCTAAAGTTGTATGATCCTGATACCTTCCATTTTTAGGCAAGCGAAGGGGATGAGCATAAGATCGAATCCTGAGGAAAGCCAGCCCGGAGAGATTGCTCTCAGCATGTTCTCCTTCCGTTTAGCTCCATGTGACTGAAAGAAGACGACCCCGGATGGACTTTTTTAACATAATTACCCAACTATTAATTAAACGCATAGTTTTCCCTAAAATTACGTTCATGTTCTTTCAGAGAAAAGAGCCAAGAACATCGCGCGGAGTTCAAGTGGGCAGCATCTGCGAATCGGTAAGGAAACCTTTTGATTACCTTATTTCTTGAAAGTTCTCTCGTAAGGCACTTTTACGTCACACTGCCAATTTCCAATTTAAATGAATAAACTGATTGTTCCAATAATATTATAATAATAATAATAATAATAACTTTTTATTTATATAGCCCTCATATCCTGAGCTCGTGGCGCTTTACGACACTGTGCGGGGGACTTTACCAGATTGCTAAGCAGTTTACAATCAATGAAAGGCGAATCTAACAGATACCCCCTCCCCCCAATTCCCAATAAACAGGCCAGACCACATCACAGTAATCTCGTGAGTGGGTTCTTTAACGTCCCCTGCCTAACCAAATTAACTAATAGATGCAGGAGACGGGACCTACGGTTTATTCGTCCTTATCCGAGAAGACTAGAATGACTATCCATTTCTTGATGTTATAGAAAGGTAGCACATTCTCCTCAGTCATTTTAAGACCTTGAGTGTTGGTCCGGCCGAGGCTTGAACCCTCGACCTCCCGCACAACAGTCCTGCGCTCAACCAATTGAGCTAAGAAACACACTGTTCCACAGGGTGTTTGCTCTGCAATGCTTTTAAGGTACCTTAGAATGATTCTTTTATCATTAAACACCATTCTCTAATAGATCTAAGCTTCCGCACTTTTTTAAAAATTATGTCTAATCCTTGAAATTAGTATACAAATTCCCAAAACAATACAGCATCCTGGAAATATCGTTATTTTTTTTCTTTATCTGCCATTAACTCAAAAACGAGTTCAGTGGCCCTTATCTTTTATTACTTAACTGCCATCGGGGTATTAAGATGTATTCTTCTGCTATTCTTTAGATGCTATGTACAGCTGAGAGCCCCCTTAATTGTTGATAATGAAAAGTGCTCTGAGCCATAGGTACAAATCATTATTAAAAGCTAGAGTCACGGAACTCGATCTTGGGTTTTGAGCACATAAAGCTTAAACTGAGGGTATTTCTTTGATGCTGTAGTGTTCTTGTGGTCCCCTCACATAAAATGAAAATGAAAAAGATATCGAGATGTAACTGGACACTCTTGACGCCCTTTTTAGGGGAACGCATGAAAAACTGTGGTAGTATCGATCCATCAAAAAATGGTACTTTAAAGAAACCAAGTTTTTTCTGCAACCTTAAGAACCATTGTTTTATTTCTTGAATTGAAGGCCCCTGAACAAGAAGTCTTGGAAAGTACACTTCACACAACCACTGCCAGAGAGATAAATGGTCTGAGCACAAATCTCACGTCGACCTCAGTGGCTCCTCTGACTTCTACTGCATCAAACGTTGTGACACCAGCAGAAGATCCACAGTCGTCTCTTCAAGCAGCGCCAAGAGTGTTGTTAAATTCGCAACAACCGTTGACAGAGAAGCCGGCACCCACCGATGTTGTGTACACTGTAAAACCCAGGCTTGCTCAACTTGCAGAACAGCAGAATGGTATCAACACTCACAACCGTTTCCATGCTTCCCGTCCATCAGCAAATGAATCAAGGGCGGTTTTTTTACAAGGAGAACCAGGACAATCTTCAGAATCAATAGCCTCCAAAGCATTCAGCCAGCCTCCTCTGGCTGTGCAACATCAAGCAAAATCTCTTTCGGAACTGATTCGTGAAAATCAGCTTAAGCTACGCCAGCAAACGCAACGTCTACAACGACAGCAGCAACTGGAACAGCGACGCACATCGCATCCGTTAGTGCAATCAACACAACAACACCCATCTGAAACTACAGCTTCCCTTTTACAACAATTGCAACGCAAGCAACAACTTCAGCAACGGCAACAACACTATCAAAAACTGGTGGAACGCCAACCCCATACTACACATCTACCAACATCCAGTCAAATAACTGATCACGTCACACCCACTTTCTCGGTCTTTTCCACACAAAAGCAACTAGATTCCACACCAGAACAACAACAAAAATTGCAGTCCCAATTAGTCAGACCTTTAGATGAATCGCAGGAAATGCGACACTCGGCTAATTCTCCTGTTGCCTTTCTACAGCGAAGAAATAATTCAGCGATTTATCAAAGATCATCACCAAGTCACATGCATTTTGTGGTCAACTCACAGACCAAGACAATGTCAGTTCCCTCGCACTCGCCAGTCATGTTCAATACAAAACAGATTGATGAAGTCTTGAAACGCAATGAAACAGCTTTGCCTCCAAATGGGAAGAGTTCAGTCTACAAGGAAACCGCTCAACACGAATCTCCATCCCAGTATACTTCTTCGAAACAGGCCATTATTAATATTCAAAGGTCAAACTTAGCGAACTCAAAGCCTCCTGTCCAGAATCACATCAATAAACGTCACGTCCCCCACGAACGACTTGTATCATCAGCACAGCCTGCCGCAGTAGCTATAATGGAAAACTCGGTTGGGCGAGGGCAAACTAATACAACTTCTCAGCGCCACGTATCCACTGACAGATTTCATGCTCGACCAAAATCAATCGGTATGCAAAATCAAGTGCAGCATCCAAGCTCTCAACTGCAGAAAAATATACAATCACGACAGCCACCTCAAGTTGCAACCCAAATGCAGAACACAACTGAAACTAGGGGTGAACAGGTTTCTTCTCCCCTTTCTTCGGCGGAAATCACCAAACACAAACCAACTCAATCGGATACCGCAAGCATGCAGCAGACTATTTTAGTTCCAGCTCGCAAAAAACATACCAGTAAAGAACTCCTTCCTTCTGGTTACAGATTCTCGCTTCCATCACCCGAATATCTTCTTCAGCGTCGGAAGTTATATGAACAACCGCAAAACCGTGCTCAACCGCTGACTTCCCAAGTTAGACAGGTATCCAAGGCTCGTTCCCTTGAAAATAACTCTTCGAATGAGAGAATTATGGTCTCTTCGACGCATTCTGGTGGACATGCAAATGCTGTATATACGATGCAGTCTTCCAAAGTTCACACCACAGCCATCCCAACTCGACCATTCCATCAAAGTGGGCACCGCGATGGTGTACCAGGTCAGTTGCCTCCTCCGGACGCCCATGCCCCTTTTAATTATCGACCATCGGAGAATCTGTTGTTGCAGAAGAAGCAACATGAAAACCTTCCCCAGTCTCGTAGCCAGTTATACAAACCACTTAAAGGACAAGAACAAGCTAACAAACCTATAGCTACAGTAACAAACGAAGGTGAAAATCTTCCAAGTAACGTGCCGTTTCTTCATAGGCCTCCCATTCAATCCCCAGGAATATCCTCAAGTGATCCGCGTATTGAGAAGAATCACTGTGAAGCTGAAAAAGCAAGTACAGTAAACACTTTAGCCCCAAAGAGTTCTCTAAACGATCAAGGAGATGCATCGAAACCTCTTCCTAAGCCGTCAGCGTCGATTGCTGCGAGGGAGAAAGGAATTGTTCTTTCTTGGAATATGGAACATGAAGACACTTCAGTCAGAGTAGATAATTACGAGCTGTTTGCATGCCAAGATGTCGACGAAGACAAAGGGCAACCAATCAAGTGGAAAAAGATAGGTATTGTGAAAGCTCTTCCACTTCCAATGGCTTGTACACTCACTCAGTTCTCTTCTGGCAGCAAGTATTTCTTTTCTGTTCGAGCAGTAGATGAAAATGAACGAGCTGGTCCATTTAGTGATCCGTGTACTGTCTCACTAAATCC